AAGGCTAACACTACTGTATTTGGCCTTGTGCACCACAATGGGAAGATCATTCCACGGGCAGGTGCAATCTCAGAAAAGATCTGGTTCCATGTTGCCACGTAACAGCATTTTGCAGGCCAAGGGATGGAGAACAGAATTCCTCCAAGGATTAAAGATGTCTGGGGGTGTGATTAAAAACATATCTGTGTGTGTGCACGCATGTGTGTGTGTGTGTGTGTGTGTGTGTACATATATAGATTTTTGTCCGCAACAGCCCCTCAAATGTTTAGTTGACAGTTGCTCGAAACATGAAACTTGCAGTCAGAAGGATAATAACATCTAATCTGTGTATTAGTCTGAGTAGTGTGAAGTAATCCTGCTTGAAAAATGTGGACCAAACTACCTTAATCATTCCTACTCCAACTGTATCAGAAAACTGTATGGAACTGTTTAACACAAGGAAGCTGTGCTTTGTTATTGTTTTCTGGTACACTATTCTGGGGGGGGGGGGAATGCCCCCCCTTTAATTGTGAATGTTCTTCCACCAAGGAAGTCCCACCCCTGCCAATAGCTACAACATTTTGGGAAAGGAACTTGCCTTCTGTTCCTGGACTACTGAAATTGATGGGATTCTCTATTTTCTTTACATCAGTGGCTGCAGCTGGGCTCTTTGCCTATAAAAAGGATCTCCTAGTGCAGAAGTGAAAACAGATGTGCTAATAGGAAACTATATATTTTGGTCTGCAGATTTGTATACATTAACTAAATCATTTTCCTCTCATTTATACTGATGATTGCAATTCTCTATTATCCTGTCTATTAGTTCAAGGTGTCTTGGATCTTGTGACAGGGTCCAATATTTCTTTCCAAAGGCAGTACACAATTTGGCTGCCATAAAAATAATATAGTTGCCTGGAACTCAATTATTCACATTTGTTTTCTTTGTTTTATAAAACCAAAGCCTGCATAAATCTTGTTGTAAGATAGTCTGGCAGCCAAAAATATTGCTCAATAGGAAAAAAATACTTTTGTGAATCCACCCTTGTTCTCCCATTGTTAGGGGAGATTGTTGAGTAAGTGAGAAGATGTCAATAAATAAATTCCAACAGCACTGTTTGGTGTGGATTTATAGGTCTATGTTCATTAGCATCATTTTCCTTCTCTTTTGATACTATGGTTTGCAAAAAAGAAAAGAAAAGAAATTAGTAAAAAGCTGGATGAAAATCTCCCAGTGGTTTCTCTACTAAATAAAAACTGAAAAGTGTAGAAGGTCTGTCCTCTGTTGCATCAGGTCATCTTTACCTTGAATGCAACAGGAAATTGCAACATTGAGACCAATCTTTGAATATATCTTAATCAGACCATTATCTAGGACCAGTTTATAGCAAATGGAAGAATTTGTGTATCTGTGCCTGGCCCATGAAACAGCTCCCTAGGATTTCACTAACCTTTTGGTATGTCAAGAAATATATTTCACTCTCTTCATAATTTATCTCCTTGACTATGATGGATGGATATTTTTGGGTTTTTTTAATTGAATGCCTTTTTTCAGAATTCCAATTTCTGCAATGGATATTGATTTAGAAGCAAATTTAGTCATGCTTAGACTAAAAGAATCAATATTAAAGGGACTTATAATCATCCTGTTCATTGAGATGTATCTATTCCCAATCTTGTGATTAACTGGATTGTGAATTTACAAGCTCTTACTATTTGAAAGTTACCTTAAAACATAGTAAGAGTTTCATACGTCCTTCCTGAGGACCCAAGCAAACACAATATCCTTCTAAGAAAAATCATCATACTCAAATATTCCTTAGAGACAGACAGACATAAAAAGGTGTAATTTTGAAAAATGTTTACATCATTAGAAAGGCAAAAAAAAAAAAAAATCTGCTTTTGGATCAGACCCCTTCATTTCCCACCTGATATTAACATATTTTGGTAGATTGAAAGGATGTCTTAATATCATGTTTTGACTCCTTGTTTGATAATATTCAAGTGGGCTCTGGAAGCATCCATGCACTGGAGGAAAGGGCCCTAAGCCCTTCATTCTGGGCCAGAAAATGGGAGTATGTTTTAGTATTACTTAGAATAGTAAAACATAATCCCATTTTCTGGCCCAGAATGAATTGCCAGTTAATTAATCACAGAAATTAATAGGAAATTAAGACTGTTGGATTTCTCCCTCTGAAAGTCAGTAACCTGCTGACAAAAGTTAAGCTATGTGCTTTGGTTATGCCATTTGCAGGATATTTTCAGTCTTTTTCAGGGTTAGGGTTGCTTCTTAAAGAGGTAAAAGTCAGCATAAACTGCAGTCCAGATGAAGTGATCTTTCTCTTTGACTCAGATAATTCAGGTTTTGCATGTACCTAATCTATTATTATTTTTTCCTAATAGCTCCATGATTTCCAAAGAGTGTGCTGAATAATATTTTTTACTGAAATAGAATACCAAAACTAAGTAGCTTAATGTATGCCTTCTACTGCTGTTGTTTCTGTGTCTATTAATTATTCTTACTATTTCATAATTCTGTGAGCCTCTTGTGATTACAAAGAAAAGCACAAGACTTCAGGACTCTCCCCAGGATCCAATTTCAGGGAGATAAAGTTCTTTTCTTTTTCCCATTAGCCTTTCTTCCTTCTTCAGTAGACCTTTTGGAGACTTTTCCTATGTTCTTTCAAGAGCCAGGAGCAATTTTTTGGAGAAGGAGAAGACAAGCAGATTTCTCTTTCTCCCAACTCCGTGGCTTATGAGTTGGGTCTGCAAAAGATTTACAGAGTTTTAGCTTAGTATCTGACACTTTACAGCAAAAATTGTAAACTACTTTGTTCAGCACTGTCATACTGTTTTAGTATCAAACTTTATTGATGGAAGCTGTGATAAACTGTTTAAATGTTGGTTATTAAAGAGATGACAAAGCAATCCTATGTCGGGTGGGAAGTAATATGATAGTTCTTCACTGATTTCTTACTGTATCAACTAATGAAGAGGTGGTGGCAGGAAATGAACTTATCTTTTTTCCTTGTTCCAATGGCTATTTGCTAATGTAGTAAGTGGCCTGATCCTGGGGGTCTGCTGAGAAAGAGAAAAGCTTTGGATCCAGTGGACCTCAAGTTGATCTTATTTCTAGAAAAACTGTTTTTGGCAAGCATACTGCTAGTGGTAGATTTATATCAATGGACCTTTCTGCAGGTAAAACAAACCTCTAGGGTAGATTTGTCCTCTTCCTACTTGACTCTTCTTGGATTGGCCTTCTCACATGATCATCAGAGAGGGTACAGACTTCATAGGAAGCAAATTTCATTGAAATGGCTCTAGTTCTGAATGAGCATACTTAGAATTGCACTGTTTAGTATTTCTAAATTAGGTACTCTGATAATCAGATGCTACAGTTTGAAATCATACTGACACATTGTACTGCATACAAACACATTTAATAAAATTGGGCTTTGTCAGGGTCACACTGAAGATTAGTATTCATTTAATAAGTAGCATACTGTAACATATTTTTTTCTCTGTGTCATTCTTATAAAAGGAGCTAGTCTAGACAAGGACTCAGGAATATCAAAAATCCTGCATTTTCAGTTTACATTGGGGGGTGGGAGTAAGGGAGAAGCATCTTAGCTTCAGTGAGGGTGTTTTTAATATGCCGATTGTAGATGTGGAAGGTCTGGATTTGTTTGAGTCCCATGCTTACTTCTGAGTCTGAAAAAAGAACAAGTACTGCATGTAACTATGTAATAAAAATAACAATCTAGTTTTTCCAGACTTATGCCCTTTAATGGCTTGAACAGTATCAGTAACTTTAGAAACATGGCTAAAATTTGGGAATTCCAAGAATTATCTGGAGGGTGCCAAGTTGGAGAAGACTGGGCTATTCCATAGCATGTTCCAGTTAGCAGAGACTCTCCAAAGTCTCAGACATAGGATTCTCCCAGATCTGTTACATGAAATCATTTTAAATAAAGATGCAAAGGAAAGAATCAAAGATGCAAAGGAAAGGATCAAAGTAAACTACATCAAGGACCTGACATTGATTTGTGCCTCTTTCTTCCCTGTCCTTAACATCCATCACAAGCAACATATGGGGTAACATCTCAGCTTCAGTGATGACATCACAGCATTATTATATCAGTGCACTGTCTACCCGCTGATATGAGACAGCACTAGGAAAATGTACAACTACTGATGTCACTTATTATTTTAGTGATATTAGATAACAAAGAAGCCACATGTTTGGTATTCAGACTTAAGCTTGGGGTTTCTTAAAATACCAACCTGAGTATTAATAAATGGCATTCAGCTGCCAAGGAATTATTGTATAATTGCTGAGATTTTAAATTTTAAACCAACTACTTGAAGAACCTGACAGTTTGTGGTTTGTTCCACTATAATGCCACAAGAGAAGACATGCTGGTGGGGAATTCTTGGATTTGTGCACATCAAGACATCAGGAGGGCATTAGGTTGGGGAAGGCTGTACTTGACTTAATAAACATTTACCTATATTGGATATGCGGAGTCCCTGGGGCTCTCTGAGCTTGGTTGTTTTCTTGCAAATGTTTCATTAGCCGGCTATGTTACCTAGCTGGTAATGAAACATTTGCAAGAAAACAACCAAGCTCAGAGAACCCCAGGGACTCCACAGTTCAACCCTGAGCTACACATATTCTCTTCTAATGGTATATTGGATATGCTTGTGAGTAAGAATGCAGCCTTTAAATTCTTGGCAGGAGTTGAAGTGAGGAAAAAATAGAACCCAGATATAACACATGTGATTAAATAGGATTCTGTTTAGGGAGTCTGTTGCATTTGTAGCTAAGCTCTGAGGTTGTAGTTACAGAAATTCGCTTGCAACAATTCCTTTTGCTTTTTTTTTTTTTTGACAAGCACGAAAATGTTTGACAAAGATTGGGAACATATTTCATTATTTATTTCATTTGTCACTTTCTTTGATTCCTCATTTTCTGAGATGGGTAGAAGCTGTTATTTATACAGAAAATGAAACCGCTTCTCATTGTCGAGCAAAAATAGAAAATTCTTACCTCTTAGTTTCAGATGTACGGTCTGAATTGCATAAGTTGATCTATGGATTTTTTGTGGAAGATCCTGCCTTCAGGCAAAAGGCTGAACTGAATGAACTTTTGGTCTTTCTACCTCTATGTTTTTATAACATTTCTCAGAAGCAAGTCCCAATACTTCAGTGTAACTTACACTGCATAATCACCTCAGTCCAATGAGAGAAATCAATGAATGGAAAGAGTACAAAAAGTTGCTGTGGGGAAACCAAAGACAGCATCTGAAACACAGACATCAAAGTTCACCAAGTGTTTGCCACCTTTGCTTGTTGGAAAAGGAGAAACAAAATCAGAAGCTGCCCTGGATCTAAATATAGCTTTTCTCTCACTTTCCCTGCCTTCAGGCAATCCGCCTTTCAGAGCTGCCGGAAGGAGAGCAGGGCTTTATTTGGGATGAGCAGAAACCATCCAACCTGATTTCTGGCCAGTACTTTGATTCTAGAAATAACTCAGACTTCCTTGGATTATCCTAAAGGGAGAGTTTGTTCCCAGTTCAGGGTTAAGGTTATGAAAAACAAACTCCAGTGTGTGTTTCTTCCTTCTATCTCTGAACTAACATAACAAAGATACACAAACACGCACACACAACTATATTATTTAAAATTATAAGATTTTAAAAGCAGAAACTAATTAATGATTGGGGGAAAATAAATGGAGAAGGGTTAAAAAATAACTAAAACAGTTGAAAAACTATAGCCTCTAAATAAAATAAAAGACTAGAATATAACATGTATGCTGTGAAAGGAAAGTAAAAGGAGAAGAAGGGAAAGGAGGAGAAATATAACTTGGAAACTAACTGAAGGAGGGGCAAGGTAAAATAGGAATGAGGATAATGTCACCAAGCATATTTGTCTTACCAAGACATGAAACATCCAAAGATTTTAATTCTTGTTCCAGTTTTTGATATGGTTGCCATGGTGACATTCTGCTCTTTGCAGTGTGATGGAACTCCTAAATTATATATTGCAGCAAAGCTTCATGGAAGTTTCAGAAACAAGGATTAGGTAGGTTATAAACATGTGTCCTACTTGGAGTGAGTTAAACATTATCCCAAATTTCTCCTTTCCACAAGTTTCAGATTTCACTTTGAGTTGAAGCATAGTTCTACTGTTTATGATTCCAACTGTGGATTCTGAGATATTTTGTTCACTTTTAACAAAGCATTTTTGAACGAAGTATTTAGTGTCATTTATAAATCTTCTTTACTGAAAAAGAAGTGTAAGATTGTATACATGACAGGCAAAAAGTATATGAATTGTCTTGTTACATCCCCAGACCAAAGAAGGCCCATTCAGTGAAGCAGTCTCTTGATGTGAATTGGCTAGCTAGATGTCTTCAGAAAGTTCACAGAAAAGGCAGGATAGAGATTTCTTTTCAAACTAAGAACAATCATTTCTTCTGAATAACCTATTAAGGGCAAATAACATAAGGCCTAATTTAAATAATATTTTAATAAGTGGTTGCTAAATTTTATTGGAAGTGTATTGTGCTTTTAAAACCCTTCATTGATTCAGTAAAGGCACAATGTAATTTATTTTTAAAAAATGGGACTGTGTATGCATATTTTTGATCAGGGTGCTCATCTCAGTTTGACTATAGAACCACAGTTTTGATAGGCTTTGTTGGGCCAGTGTTAAGCATTTCTGAATGTCAAGTGTGTGTCCAGTCCTAGAATGAACAGCAGACAAAAGCCCTACGCAGTGTATTAAAGGTGGCATTTGAAGGAGTCACAGCGTATGCTTTGCATACGTGTGCATGCACTCTGACAATGAATCACATATACATGACAATTTTAAAAGCCACTTCTACTATATGATGATACCCCAATTTGGATATGGATGGATCAAAATATGCACCAAGAGACTAGCACATTTAGTTTCTGCAAAGTCTCTTTTTCCAGAGGAATACTTCTCTATTCAAAGAATGTGCTCACAGCCCACAACGTAAGATTAAAAACCTGGGTAAAACCTTTCTCTTGTATCCATAGTGTATGAAGAGGCAGGCTTCTAAAACTGAAGATCGTTTTTTAGCATGATAAAAGTAAATATTTGATTCTAAGAAAGGCAAATGTTCACGTACTTAATCTGTGCTGGAAAAGCTAATCCACAGGAGACAAGGCAGGTGCCTTTGCCATTCTAAACAGTGCAATTAAAAGTAGGTTACAATTTTCCATTAAGTAAATTTTACCGTTGATTACACATAACGTTCCTTCCAGCATCTCTTCCCTAAAACTTTCTTCTGTGATATGCTTCTGTTCCAGAGGAAATTAAAATGTCTTTAAAAATATTTAAAAATCTTCAAGGTAGTGTGGTTTTTTTTAAAAAACAATTTTTTAATGAAATACATAGTGACCTAAACTGCTGTTGAGCCATTTGCTGCTCTGATAATTGTTGTGTCTGCCTTTTGTAAAACTAAAGTGACAGTCCAATTGCAAGATATGGATTCTGTAAGTGATTGTTTGTGCCTTATATAATTGTGGCATTCTTCTAAAAGTGCCTCTGTGGTGACTGTGTTTATTGAATTCCTTACTATATTCCTTTTCCTATTAAATATGTGTTCTATATATTTTTAACTGGCAGTGTGAGCTTTTTTTTAAACTCATATTCAAAAGAATAAACCTTATCCCACTTTCTTTTGCTTTGCCTTTATATATTTATTTGGCTATGGCAAATAATACAAGAAGCTTTACAGTCCCTTGCATCACTGGTGTCCTGCCAGCAGAGTTGAAGATGAAGATGTAGACATTTGAAACTGGAACACTGGATGGGTGTGTGTGTGTGGAAATGTGTGGGACAATAATCAATGTTTCTTCTATCAATAGATTTCCTTCATATTTGTGAAGAAATGGCTAAATTCACACATATTGCCCTATGAAAATAGTTGTTTTTATCATGGTTCGCTGAATAAACTAGAATAGAGTAAAAAAAAAAAAAAGGTACAGTTTATAAACCACAGCAGATGGGATCACACACTTCATGTCAAACTAAAACCAGACAAGTCACATGAACAGAAAAATAAGGTATATGGTGAATGTGTGTGTGTAATTGCTTAAACAATTGTCCACTCCTTTCCTGGTACAATTCCACCGTCCCCCTAAAAATACCCACAAAAATCTTCACTAACTTAATTCTGGACACACATTTATGAAATGAATATAAACTATGATGTTGGGGGCTTTTGAATATTTGGTCAAAGTGTTTTCTCCCCCCCCCCCCCCACATACACACAAACCAATGACTAGATGGTTTCGCAATATCTTCCCCAGAGTTGCAAGGAGGGTGGCTTCCCAGTAGAAAGTATTCCTGTGCCCATCTCCCTGGCTTCTTCTCCAGCCCAGTCTTCACAAATAATTGGGTGGGGAGGAGAGAGAATGTGGGCTTTGCCACTCCTCCTGCTCAACCACTGATTTTTTTTTTTCACTTTTGCCAAGAAAATACTACTGAGGAAATTAGAATTGGGGGCACTGACTGGAATCACAATTTTTCTGTCTCTCAGCAGTCAAGCAATTGACTTTTATTGCTCCCCCACAGATCCCCAGGGAACAGCCACCAGGATACATGCTGGCTGCCCTGGAAATGCAACAGAAGGTAAGAGGGGAGAATCTGGTGACTGAGTGGAAATGCTGAGAAAGATTGATTGGACAGTTTATTCCATCTCTTAATAGATGGTGTAAGTAGTACCTTTGCCTATATAAACTCTTATCTATTGGTTTTATGTATAACTCTGAAATCTTCTATTATGAATGGGAGAACTGACCTCCATCCATCGTCTTACAAAATGTGAACAATTTTATAAAGCTTTACTGTGTTTCTCTTGTGGCACAACCTTATTCAAGTACAAATAGACAGTTTTGGAACTTTTTAGTTTGGGGGAAAAAAAAGAAAGTAATGGGCAGATTTGCCAGAGATATATAATTTATGCAGGAGATGAAAACAAAATCAAATAATTCTGTTATAATATGAAAAATAAACTGTGCATTTAATGAAAAAAAAAACATAATTTGACATTCAGGACACCTAAAAGGAAATATTTTTAACTCAGTTCATAGCTGTATTCTGGAATTTGTGACAACAGATAGCTTTGCACAACAAACTTAAGATGGCTTTCAAAAGAGATCAGAGACATTCACGAAGGACATACAGGTGAAACTTGAAAAATTAGAATATTGTGCAAATGTTCATTTATTTCAGTAAGTCAACTCAAAAGGTGAAACTAATATATGAGACAGACCCATTACATGCAAAGCAAGATATGTCAAGCCTTACTTTGGTATAATTGTGATGACTA